TGTTCTGTTCGGCAGATTGCACCTATTTTGTTTGTGGTGAGGCTTACGCCTCTAAACGTTTTGAGGCTTACGCCTCACCTCATGACAAAAAAACACTTCAGTACCCGTTTACGTTTTTTCAAACTATGTTGTAGCCACAGCATTTGTTAACTAATGAGCAAGTAAAAGGATTGTTTTTTATTCAGTTTCCGGGTGATGAAAATGGTAAAATTATTTGTTTTTGTGGATAGATATGATGCTTGTTGGAACTTTCTGCAATGAGCTTAAACAGTGAGTTGATACGCTACCTTGCTATCTGTGTAAGACAATACGAGACATAAGTGTAGTTATCAAATCGATCATGTTTTATTTAACTGCAATATGGCATAAATCCAGTAGGAAGATTTGATGAACCCTTAATGCCAAGTCCTAATATTATTTCAGGTCTTTTCATATTCCATCCTCGATTAAAAAAAAAAAATTATAATAGGTGGTTGAAAAAGTTCAGGTACGTGCAACTGCTGCTGAAACCGACCAACCAAATTGGTGGGAAAAGAATGCTGGCCCAAATATGATTGACATACATTCGACGGAAGAGTTTTTAGATGCTTTAAGTCAAGCTGGAGATAGATTAGTCATTGTTGAATTCTTTGGCGCGTGGTGCGCATCTTGCCGAGCTCTATTTCCCAAGGTATGTCTCTCTTTGATGAACCACAAGCTCTACGTCTCTGCAGACTGAAGTTCAGCATCTTAATTATGGACATTCTTTTGCTGCATTTGGGAATCATCTAATAGACTAAAACATAGTTGCTGCATTGCTGCTAAGTGGTGTTGTTCATGTGCGCTCATGATAAGGAAGGGATGTATATCTAGTATTTCATGGTTCAGTAATACCATAACTGATCTATATATAAACTTTATCATTTTATGTCTAGATGTTATCTTGTAACTTGTTTTCAACATTTGTTTTTTTGGATCTATCAAATCACTTTGGTCTCTGTGAACTTTCTGATCCTGTTATATGATTGCTTCATTTAGTGTTTCCTTAAATTTAGGTATGCAGGATTGCAGAACAACACCCAGAGATCATCTTTCTCAAGGTGAACTTTGATGAGAACAAGTCCTTGTGCAAAAGTTTGAACATAAAGGTCCTTCCATATTTTCACTTTTATAGGGGAGCTGACTGCCTGCTGGAATCATTTTCGTGCTCTCTCGCAAAGGTAGGACGAGAAGTTTCTGTTTCTACATCTTCAATGCTTTATCATATTATGGTTTGCATCAACCTTCGAATCTTTCCGCTTGAACCCAACCCCCCCCCCGATGGTCTTTCCTCCTTGTAAAATGCAAAAGTTTTTGCATGCATATCTTATATTTAGGGAGCCTTGGAAAGAAAACTATCCGTGTTTCAAGGCAGAATTTACCACTAATGTTAGGCAAGTGGTCCTTGCAGTTCATATCCTCGGTACTATATTGATCAAGAGCTCTGGCTTGTCAGTATCTTCCTTTTATAGTTGCTTAATATCAATCTTTAAATATTTAAGCATAATAAGTAACTGATTATAATGCAGGACCTATATTTAAGAGATTTCAATTTCCACATTGAGTTGGGATGCTGGGTGTTTATATGATTGTCTGGTGTTTTTTAAAATGCCAACATATCACATCTCTGCACTTATGAACGCTTTTTCTTATCTTTTGATGGTGAACTATGTAAACAGTGAACCAAGAAGTTAATGTTATAATAGTTCATCGTCTTTGCCCCATTGAGCACCTTGCTCTGTTTAGGAATTTTTGACTTTTCTAGATTCTGCACACGTGGTTTAGTGCTGCAATCTGCCGATGGCTTGTCAAGATATTGAAAGTTATGATAGTTCCATAATTGTAATTTGGCTCCAACAAGTCGAGAATATACAACTCCATACTCCATGTAAAATAATTGGAGTCAATTGGACTTTGAACGATCTACTTGTACATTTGCAGTAGGGAGAGAGTTTAATATTTTCTCGTTGCATGTTCTCTCTCATCCATGAGAATGCTCAAGTTTTTCCCTAAGTATATCATTAAAGAAGTTACCAAAAATTTATGCAGCTCCAGAAATTGAAGGATGCCATTGCAACCCATAACAAAGCTCGTTACAGCGAGTGTCCATTGAAAGATAATGGTGATGGACGTCAAGATCTTCCTGTAACATCTGCAGTGCCAGAAGACAAAGAATTATAATCAACTTTGCTACACTGTATCATGTCACTGCCGACCTTGGTCGAGTTATGGCTTTATTCTTATTTTCTTTTGGGTTAACGTAAAAAAGCCCTCTGTACATGCTTCTCTATAAAAGAACTCAGATTTAGGCTCATGTGGTTTCATAATTCGTGTAACACTAACTGGGGAAGCACTCTACTTGATTACCTATTTGTATATAAATAAAAGAATGTGTGATGTAATTGCTGGTTTTATCTGCTTTATGCCCCTTCTTTTCTTTTTTGTTCTAGCTTTCTATATATCCAGGGATCGAATGTGTGTAGTTCACCCCTAGCTTTTAGCTCCATACCCCATCATCTTCAGCTTGAATTTTCTTTGGAGATTTATCTTCCTCTAAGGGTGAGCTTTCTTGGCTCAGCTCTAGTGTCCAAGAGGACTTTGGTATCGTGTCCATACCATTAAATTGAATAATCTCGGTTGCTTTCTGTTCCGATAATGTATACGACTCTGTTTTTGGTTGGGGGAGTTTGATTGCCTTTTGGCTTTATTGAAATGTGACCAAGAAATTAGATTTACTTCAAGAATAGGTGCAAGTGTAGATCATAATATTTATAAATTTACCCTTTATTTCTCCGATGGAGAAAGAGAAGTACTAGTTGCATTCTTGGCGTTACAATGAAATAACACACAAGAGTCGTTAGAAAATAACTATATACTGATATACACACAAATCATTGATCTTAGCCCGGGTTTCGAAACTAAAAATTAGTGTAGATCAAGTCTTCCAAGTATGAAGAAGACAGCAATGTAAATACTGAGGTTAAACTTTAGGACAGAAATGTTTTTTTTCCTATGTAGTGGATATGGATGCTAAAACTTTTTAATTTTCCCCTTTATTCGTGTTTTTGTGTCTGGGAAATAGCCATCACCACCCCCACTAAATCCTCAACAGAACCCTTTCTGTTACAGGTTAAGTGACTAAATGAACGCCTTTCATGTCCACTATTTCACCTTCAATATAAACTGTTCCACATCTGGTCTCCTATCGAACGAGATCATTTGCACGCATTCTGTTCTCTGAGGGCATTGGAATATGTCGTCTGCTAGTCCAGTATGCTCATACCACAGTGACATACGGAATGAACGAATATTTCCATTATCTATGCAGTTTTCTCCATTTCCTGACTGGTAGCATCCTATTGTAATTAGGGCTAGGCAAAATGTCCGAACCGAATCGAGCGGGTTTTTATAAATGAAATACCCGAACGGGTATCCGAATCGAGAACCGAATGGTTTGGTTCGGTTCTCGGTTCTAAACCCAG